GACAGGTCTTTTTCAATAATTTAATTGTATTTGAACCAATAATTATATATATTCAAAACTGCCATTTTCCTAGAATCGTCTTTTTTAAAAATTTCCAGGAGTATGCATCTCTCTGTCATCTCTGTGTGTCACCTCATTCTTATATCTCCGTTCATTCGTCATCTAGGAGATGGTTTTGCCTGGTTACACATCAGCTGTGGTGATTGAATGTAAAGAGACTGTTTCCCATTACTGTCTCCTAGTGCTGCTCTCACTGAAGAGTCCTTAAACGTTCTCCCAAGTGGTCCTGAACACAAGTGTGCATTCTGCTACGACTAGTAAAAATGCATTATGCCATGCGAGGAACTAAATGGTATTTAAATTCTTGTAAATAAAATATCCAATAATGAAACCAAGAATTCCACCTCCTGCTTCACAACTCATTAAGACACTTATGTGAACACTATGGCAGTAATATTTCTCAATAATATGTTTCTTTTGCTCCTTCAGGAATGGATTCCAAGGCATTCATTTCTAGTTTAATAAGTAGTATTATAGTAATGTTACAACACAGCTTAGTTCTGCTGAACATAGATTCAATTTTGAATCGCTAGAAATAACTTATGATTCTTTTCTAGGCCAATGTAAATACCACTTAATTATTCCTTAAATCCAATAATACTATGTACTTATTGTATCTGGCGAATAGCACGTACTTGAACATTTTTATTGAATGCTGACTTGGTAATGGTAATGTTATTTATATCTTATTGGGAAAATATGTTCAGTAGTGCAGAAAACCAATTTATGCACATTTCCCGTGAATCTGGTGCCAGCTAGTGGTACATATTATATGTGCTTCAAAAACATAACTGCCTTCTTTAAATAACCAAGGACAGCATGGTCTTTTGGGGATCAAAATTGCTTAAAAACAAAATTTTTAAAAATATTGATCTGCCATGCTGGTGAAAACCAACAGAACCTACATAAGAATGGATGTATGAAATGTTTTCTTGTTGTGTAACACCCTGGGCCAACTTCTCAGCTCTGTGTTCCCACCTTGTGATGATTCACATGTCTGTCATCCTTATTATATTAGGAGATCACTGAGGTGTGGATCATGCCTTCATTTCTGTATCTCGCCGTTGATCACAAGATCTGACAATTAGATGCAGAAATAAATATTTCTTGAATAAATAAAAAAAAAATTCCACAAAGTATTGCCATATGACTTTCCCCACAGTGCCTGATTTCTGGGTTATTTCATGAGTTATTGAAACTAGGTCATGACCTTAATTATTCAGAAATACAGTAGACAACTTTGGGCTTCTAAGCTTTTCCAGTCTTCAAGAATCCCCTATTTAAGGTAGATATCAGAGATCTGTTTAACCATTAGCCACACCAAGAGGCTGTTTAGAAATAAAAGGAAGCTGGAGAGCCACTGAGACACGCATCCTAGGTCCAGTTTATTATTTTAACCATTTAGCCATTAGGAACAAATTTTGAACTGGCAGATTTTATTTGCCTGGGATTAGAGCAGAGTTATGGAACACTATCTTAGGGTGCAGACTCTAATAATCTTTACTGTTAGGATTATTGCCTTCTTATTAATTTGCTGATTAATGGTGTTAATAATTGGTTTAAATAGAACTTTAGACGTCTGCTAATGACTCATTGATTAAATTTAAAAGGCCATAGGGGCCAGCCCCGTGGCTTAGCGGTTAGGTGCTCGCACTCCGCTGCTGGCGGCCCGCGTTCGGATCCCGGGTGCGCACCGACGCACCGCTTCTCCAGCCATGCTGAGGCTGCGTCCCACGTACAGCAACTAGAAGGATGTGCAACTATGACATACAACTATCTACTGGGGCTTTGGGGGAAAAATAAATAAATAAAATTGTAAAACAAACAAACAAAAATTTAAAAGGCCATAATCTTTTAACTTTGAGGATGAAAATTCTAATTCTCATTGGGACTGCAGTCAGATATGTCCCTAAGAGAGGGGAAAAAAAATCTTTCCAACTTCGTGCCTTCAGTGGTTGACACAATTTCTGGGGCCATTTGTCAATGATACCTTGTATAAAGTAAGATCGATTTAGAATTTCAGCTTATTATGGAAGGAGCTTTCAAGTTCAATTAGTTCAGACTCCTCAGATGTGTAAAGAAAATACATTTTCTGTATTTTCCATAATTGGTCTATTTTCCTCTGAAACCCACTTGAAGGATAGGTTTCAATGTGTGTGCTTGGCAGGATGCAATCATTTAAATCACCCGTTAGATAACTCAGTCACTTTTGGATAAATGATCACCCTTTCGCTTTTCTTCCACCACTTTCCTCCTGCTATGGGTAACAGTTTGGGATATACAGGTTTTGTTGTTACGTGATCTCCTGCAGTGGCAGATAAGGGCCAAGCGTCAACACGGCTGCTTCTGGCTCCTTGCTGATTTCTGCTTTAGACACGTTGGTGGGGTCTGTTCCCAGGACTGCTACCATGAGGGTACCATCTCATTTCCTGGCACTCACTACTGGCGTTTGTGTTCCAGACATTTGCTCCCAGCATAAAATCCCTGCACACTGTGGCCTTTGTCCCAGCCTCAGGCTCCCATGCACCTGCTAATCCTTTCAGAACCTCTGTGCCGTTTACTACCGGGGCGTGCAACAAAGTCTGCCTCCCTTGCCTGCTGCATACGAGCCTTGGGAAGCATAATTTAAGGCTCATCTTTCCTGCCAGCTCCTGTCCTACTATAAGGAATCATGTTGGCTATGATCACACGTGGGGCTTCTTCTAGGTGAATGGGGCCACCAACCCACCCCCACAGTCACAGGCTCCCTCATACTTGCTTGGGCCTTTCTATCACTCCATCCACCCCCCTTGGGGTTTCTACCCAGAGGAGAAAAATGGGACACTTGCTGAGCTCTGCATCTTACCTTTATTTCTCTTTTTCTCCAGGTCATGGAAGGACATGCCTTCCCTTTCCTGTATATCAGATCCTCCTTATCCCCACCCCTTAATATATAGAAGAAGGTCTCTATGATCTATCTTGCCATCCTTGGCTCTTGATATGTCAGTAAGAATTTCAGTGCCTCCCCTTCTCTAATGGACTCAGGCTTGGGGGTGGAAGGCTGCAAGGAAATGGAAATTTAATAGGAAATGAGAACACATTGGTTTAATGTTTTCATAACATTATCTTTGCTACCTCTAGATCAATAGTTGTGAATCTTGGATACATGTTAAAATCACTTGGGTCTTTTAAAAAATACTGATGCCTAGATCAGCCACAAAAAAATTAAATCAGAATATCAGATATTGATCAATCTAATGCTGGGAGAGTTTAAGTGAATTACTCAGTGTCGGTAACTAAATATGTCCCACCCAGGTGGGTGTTCTTCCTTCCTCCTATACTGCCAATCAAACCGTGGTGCTAAACCAGCTACTCCTATTTCTAAATAGATGTGCACACCAAATTTATAATTTGTTTAATGTTTTAATACAGTGTGTGTGTGTGATTGATATATGTATATATATATATATTTTTTTTTTCACATGTAACCCATGGAGAAAAAAAATCAAGAAAACATGCTTTCCTCATTGACTTCTTTATCCCTTACAATATTATGGTGAAGTTTTGTCACAATGGCTGTGCTACCAGGAGAGGGCTCTTTAAGGAAATACCAAGAGAGAATCCCCTTGTTTGCCAGCGGTTGTGGAGAACAGCTTATTTCTTGAATCACACCAGTGCTGCCTTTTGCCCTTCCCCCCAACCCAATCCCAACTCCTCGAGAGCCTTTGTCCACCTTCATAGTTTCTCTGGAGCCACTGTCAAGGCTATCTCATGTTTTAATGATCTTGCAATCCGAGGGGGTAATACAAAGAGAAATTGAGCAGAGATGTACAACGTAGTACTTTTTCCTAGTACCAGAGATCCCTACAGCCTGTACCAAAACTTGAAAGGACAGGAAACACCATCTATGTAACTGCTAATTTTCAGTCACTCTTAAAGGGTAAGTGATATCTAAGGACCTTTCCAGAAATAAGATCCCATGTACATTTGAATCTCCTTTCTTCTATTTCCTGATTCATATTCTCTCTCCCCCACCTCCTCTCTCTCTTCCCTCTCCTTTCTTGTCTTCCCTTTCTCCCTCCCTCCTTCTTCCTTCTTCTCTCTCTCTCTCTTTTCTTCCTCCCTACCTCCTCCACTCTCCTCCTCTAAATACAAAAGAAGCTTTAGAGCTCTCTGTTTCTGTGCAACAGAACAATAAATCAGGCAAAATGATACTCCTGTGGTTGTCAGAGAGCCAGGAGCTCACGCTTTTCCTTCAACTGCCTCTGTTTTAAAGGGGTTCACCTGCCTGAGGGAAAGGAAAAAAGAAAAGTCAGGAATTTCTGGGGAGAAGCATGGCATATTGATTACCAGTTCCTTTCTTCATCTTCCTCATTTGAACCACAACCTCCATTGCACATTGTGTCTATGGAAAGCAAATATTCCCAGTCACAAGATTTCATGAATCATTGCAAGAAAAATTCACTCTCAGATTTGAGCTAGCTCCAATGATTGTAGTTGGGGACTTGGGAAGTTCCCAAGTTGAGAAGAAGCAACCGTCTAATAGCAGTGTCCCCTCATATAGAGAGGGTACACTCTGAGTGAGGCAGTGTGCAGGTATCAGCTGGGGCTAACACCCCATTTGGTCTCTGGATACCATTACTCTAAGTCAATGTTAAGTTAGCAACTACTAATATCAACAGCCACTTTCACATGCAAAGCCCAAGCGTTTCTTTCTCCGTTTTTCCTAGAAGTTATTAGAGAATGGTATGTGAAGTCCTTCATATGCAAAGAATAAGAGAGTGCAATATGTTTTATTACTGGCTACTGCTGACAGAAGTGGGTGTGGCCATTTGGAAAGAGCTGTCAGTGACTCATATCATCACAACATTTGCTCAGGTTCTGGAGAGCAAGTCCTTAACGCACTGATCCAAAACTTCACACCCAAAGACTCCTTTGTCTCTCTGTTTTTCCATTTCCAGCCTGGATGTGTAAATACCACCGAAGTGGACATTAAGAAGTCATCCAGAATGAGAAACCCACACAAAACACGGAAGGTAAAATCGACATTTGTTGTGCTGATCTTGGTAATGACTTGCACTATTTAGAGGATGTCAGTCATAAAAAACTTTTCTCCCACTTCATGGAGTATCTTCTAGTATCTTCCCTGTTTTTCCTTGTCACTTGACTAGAAGAAAATCTGGGAGTTCAAGCCCTGGTCTTCTGTCAGTCCCTCTCTCCTGAGGAAATAGTCCCATCCTGATTCTCCATGCCCAGGTCCCAAGGCACGCAGGGGGCTGTGACAGGACCGGTTCCAACAGGAGGGGAGTGAGGATGCTGAGGACCCCTCCTCTCTCCATCAGAGAAGAGTCATCAGCAGAGAAAGGCATCTCTTTCAGATCCCAGAGGATGAGGAACAGTAGATGGAGATTATCTGAGAAGAAGTGATACTGATGAGAGAAGGGCATTTTTAGAGAAAATTCTAAGGAAAAATGGGCATCCTAAAGATGTTTAACTACAGGTATGAGGACCCCCTTGTAACCTCAGAATTTTGTGACACAGCCGTGAGATAAGAGGTGTATTTTTGGTGTCTGTTATGTGAGAGAATACATAACAAAAAAAAGCTACCCAGAATTCAGAGACATTTTAAATAGTCTTTTGAAAACCTATAGCGGGGTAGTACCTACATATTTTTTAAAGTAACGTGTACACATAAAAGGCATTTTTATTCATTCCATAAAAGATGCTTGATACACATAAGAATTTCCATCCCGTAGCATCACTCTGAGGACACAGCCTAAGATTGGCACCACTGGATTAAAGCATTCCGCAGAGTTCAAGACCTTCTTTCCTATGGCTTTCTCCTTATGTAGCGATAGCGTTTTCCAGGGTATGTGACCCTGTAGTAGGCACTGAACATTTTTTCGTAGTCTTATTTCTTGTCGTCTTTGTCTTCCATCCCTAATAACATAAGCATCATGTTCAAAGGCCCCAATATGGTCCAGGTACCTTTTCTTTCTTTTAAGGCAGTTTACCTTGATGTTAGGAAAAGTGCCAGAAAACCCATTCAGATGCGGGGCTCAAAAGCTTTTGCCCCCAAGAACTCTGTGAGAGAAAAAGGCAAAGCCAGACCAAAGCAAGCCTGTCTCTGGCGACAGACCCTACTCAGTTCCTTTCATCCTCTGCTCACGGCACATCCTGAGCACACCGGGGACTAGCTTTCTGGAACAAGCTTCAAAAATGCAATCAGCTCTCCAAAAAGGGCATTAAGGCATCTCTCATACTTTGAATTTTGAAGAGTTACTCTTCATAATACCTTAATTTGTGTCAATTTTCCCCAGCAGACACCAACTGAGATATGCTCAGATTCGGAAGAGAAAGTGTAGGGATTATGGAGAGAGAACTCAAGATAGTAGAGTGATCATTTACACTCTCTTTTTGACCCTGTGCTCGGGGTTGATATCTCACCCGAGCTTCACATGGCATCATTCTTTCTGAAAGTTTGAAGAGCGTTAGTTGACACTGTTGCTGTCCACGTACCATTAGCCCTCATTTAACGATGGAAGAACATGAGGCGTAGCAAGGTGAAGTGCTGTGAAGAAGTGGAATCGTTGAGCTCTATTTGTCCAGGTTGCAGCCTAATTTCCTGGGAATCAATAGTGGTAGAAGTACAGGGCTAACTGCAGAGCTATTTAGCACTAAAATCACCAGAGAAAAACAAAAGTTCTGAAGAACACTGTGGCAAGTAGTCTGCGTGTGCTTGTCTCCAACAATTGGAGAATACTGATTTTCTCACGTTTTGATAAATATAGCTTCTCATAGTCAGAAGTGTTGAATTGGCTAGAATCTTCACGAATAATGTTCTTTTACATACAAGATTACAGGACTCTAAGCCACATACTGGTTTATTTTTGGAATTATTCCCACTGCTACTTGGGCTCCTACTTGGTTAGGAACTGGAATGATCCATTCAATCGGTGGATTTGACAAGTCTGCTTTATGCCAGGCATGTCTTGGTCTCTAGGTATAAGTGGTAAATGGGAGAGCCATGAACTTGCTCCCACAACTCTAATGAGAATGGGCACATTGAACAAGCAGACAAACAAACGTCTATACATATATATAATTACATAATTTTGTTAAGTGTTATATATTAGTCTGCTTGGGCTACCATAACAAAAGACCACAGACTGGGTGGCTTACACAGTAGGAATTTATTTTCTCATAGATCTGGATACCAGAAGTCTAAAATCAAAGTGCTGGCAAATTCAGTTCCCAGTGAAAGCTCCCTTCCTGGCTTGTAGACAGCCACCTTCTTGCCGTGTCCTCACGTGGCAGAGAGAGAGAGAGCTCTGGTGTCTCTTCCAGCTCCGTAGGACTAGAGTCCCACCCTCTGACCTCACTTAACCTTGATTCCCTCTTTAAAGACCCCATCTCCAAACGCAGTCACAATTGGTGGTTAGGGCTTCAACATCTGAATTTTGGAGGAACGCAACTCAGCAACATGCTATTAAGGGAATTTAAGTGGTTTGTGGTTTGTGGTTCTAAATTGCCCCATCATTTATCAATGAATTACTTGACAACAAGGAGTAAACTGTTCCATCCTCCTCTGAGGGTGTCACAGCTCTGTCCCCGTGGAGTAGGCACTTTTGTGGGATGGCAAGCCCTACACAGAAGTGGCGAGGCCAGCCTACCGCCTCTGGAAACTGCCTTTGCCTTCTGCTGTTAGCTGGGCTGCGTCCTTTGCTCCTTCTCTTAGCTGTGTGATCACCTTCTGTCTTATATTGCAGCTGGTAAGGAAGTGGAATCCCTGGACCCTACTTCATCATTGAAAACAGATACTGCCCTTAGAAAGAGAACTGCTGTTCATTTTTGGGGCGTTCAGTTGTAATAATATTTCTTGTGACTATATGTCATAACAAGAATAAAGGACCCAGTAAACCCTAACACAATAATCTAGCTTATGTACCTAAAGAATATCAGGGTTTGGAATGTTATATATTTATATATTCAACTATTCATATTCAACTATGTTAATAGTTGAATTACAAACGTGTTTATCAAATATGTGAAGAGAAGGCTTAAATGTCTATCTAATTTGAGATATTTTTAAGTATTTGGGATTAGTCAATTTTTAAATCTTTTTAAATCTGTCTTTACTAAAGTACAAAAAAACAATAGGTCATATGTATTTCCTGAAGTCTCTATGAAGGAATGATAATGTGGCAGAGCCAGAAAGAAATCAGCATAATTTAGGCAAATTTTAAGGGGCACTGTGTGCCTTATTTTCTTCAGTCTGTTTCTAAAATTTTAACTATAATAGGTCAGGCTGTGTATTATCCAAGGTTCTCCAGAGAAACAGAACCAACAGGATGGAGAGATAGAGGGAGAGATAAAGAGAGAGGTTTATTTTAAGGAATTGGCTCACATGATTGTAGAGGCTTGGCGAGACCAAAGTCTGATGGGGTAGGCCAGCAGACTAGAGTCCCAGGGATTAACTGCTCTCTACTGACAGAATTCCCTCTTGCTTGGAAGAAGTCTATCTTTTGTTCTATTCAGGCCCTCAACTGATTGCATAAGGCCCACCCACATTATGGAGGGCAATCTGCTTTACTCAAAGTCCACTGATTTAAATGTTAATCTTATCAAAAAACATCCTCACAGAAACACCCAGAATAATGTTTGATCAAATATCTAAGCACTGTGGCCCAACCAAGTGGACACATAAAATTAACCATCACAGGTTGGACCCTTCTGTATGATAATAACTAGAGGGATCCAAGAAAAACACAAAACCTGAGGAAAATGACAAAAGCATTTGTGCATATGTGACTGAACCCACACTATGGATTGCTTCCTGTAACTTCAGAACTCATATTTCAAAACAACAGTAAACTGTTTCCTGTCTCACTACCTTTCTTTCCTCTGTCACCTTCATTTGGATATTATGGGACTTAATATTTTAAACAGCTGATGTGCACATCCTGGAAGAAGAGTTAGCAAATTCATGATTAGATGTCTCATTTTCCTGCTATTAGTGCAGTGGTTATACCTGTTTATACATAAAAAGATTGGCCTGTCTTCATTTCCAAATGCAAAATGTGTAAATTTAAATTTTAATTGTGTTACATAACAGGATAAACTACTCATATCTTAGAATAACACAAAAGTGTTTTAAGTAAGGAGTACAGTCAAGTTGCAGGCAACAGAAACTCTGCTCAAACCAGACTGAATGAAGAAGGGAATATTCTAAAACTTTGGGAATAGGCAGGGGCAGAGCTGGCCCCGGGTATGACTACAGCAGGGACTTGAACACCATCAGAGCTCTCTCCCAGTCTCTCTCCACTCTCTTTCCTTGGCTCTCTCTCTGTACTGGCTTCCTCCACACAGCCTCAGACATGGTCACAATCCATTCTCTAGCTGAGCTGAGCAATCCAGAGGAAAGAGAAATATTCCCCACCATCACCAGTTAGAGAAATCCCAGAGATAGAAAGGCATAAAAGCTTCCTTCACTCTTTAGTTTCTACTTTAAAGCCTCTCCACCTGCTGAAAAATGTAGGAGAGAATTTTTCATAGATCACGTCAGATAGTAACAGATTTATGTAGAAAGTCAAGCCTATTTCATTTAAAGAATAACCTATCCAGGATTTGTTTGGATGGCACTATATATGAAAAGTGCTGCTCTAGGCACCACGGGGAATAAAAGGATGTGTTAATCAAGTCAAAGCATCTTGATTTAGTAATGAGTTTTGCTATTAAAACTCAAAATGGATCCCCATTAGTTAATTTGATTTTTCCGCCAGCTGCAAATCTTAAGACATTCAGACGATATCATTCCTCTTCCTCTCTAGCCCTACCTGTTGCTAGCTCTGTTCCGCCTACCTTGTGCCAATATTTTAATACATTTCCTTGTTCTAAAGAATGCAAAGCCTTTTACATTGCAAATCATCCTCAAACCTTGTCTGCCAAAATTGGTTTGATTTCCTTACCTCCTTTGTCCATAAAATAAGCTCTGGACATAAAATTGCACTATTCATGGCTATTATCACTGTAGCTAAGAATCAAAGTGAAAAGCTATCATTGGTCCCCAGGAAATGAACGGCATTCTGGTTGATGAAAGAGAGAGCTCCTCATGTTTGTTTGAATGTAAGACCAAAAATGGGAACTCCACAGTGACCTCAGAGCCAGTAGACAGACTGCTGAGAGAAAACTTTATAGGACACCCCCAGTGGTGTGGGTCTTACACAGCACTTCATGAAGCCCGTGTGAATACACGCATATTGAAATAATTGTAGAAATGTAGAGATGGAAGATAAGTTATGGATCATTTTACTTCTATGACACCATAAATTGTGGTATTTTTTTAGCAATCTTGTTAATTATTTTTAATCTTAAGCAAAAGACTTACTGTTAAAGCTGTCATCTATCTTGTCTTATAAGCATTTTTTATTTGAACCATAGATTCTTATTAAAGAACATTAAGTACTTAAAGCAAGGTAAACAAAAATGGAAAGTTCAAGCCTTAGAGTCTTCTTAATCTTCCTTATCAAAAACTAATATGCTACAACTGAAAAAATAGCAGACATTGAAAAGTACAATTATGGCATAACCAGTGATCTTTCACGCGCCTAATTTTTAAAAAGCAACCTCAACTGATATTTCCGAGTTCAAAAGGTTGCTTTATTTAATGAAGTTCAAATATGATGAGTAGTAGTTCATGTAGGCCTTTTCTGTTTCTTCAATGGAAATTAAGTCTCCTTAATTTATATACTCTAGGCCCTATGCTCTTGCTATTCTTTTCTTTCCTAATCTTTATCAGTTTTAATCGTATATTTATTTGTGTGATTGTGTAACTTGTTTCCCTTCCACTAGGTTGTGAGTTCCAGTGGAGGGGGAAGCATGTCTGTCTTTGTTTACTTTTGTATCCCTAATGCTTAGCACTATACCCAGCATATTGTAGGTGTTCAATAAATGTCCAATCTATGAATGAATGAAAGAAAAGAGAAAGCCACTCAGTTCAGTCCTGTTAATAATTAATTCACAGCATAAGTGCCACTCGTTGGGATAGATGGAAGCCTAGTGACAGGAATTGAGTTCCAAGGGCTTGGAGCTAGGGAAAGTGAGGGGAGATTGAAGGACCTACCAAAGATAGTCTGAACTGGGTGGTTCAGATAGGATAAACCCAAGTCAAAATCTGTTAAGAAAAGGCTAAGAACAAAACAATGGGGAGACACAAGGAAAAAAAACCGAGTTCAAAGGGCCCAGGTGTAGAGCCAAGAGGTTAACATTAGGAAGAGATAGGGTCCAAGTGAAAGTAGGTCAGAAACAAAACACGTTTGAATTTAGAGATACTGCTAAGGTTGGTGATGGGCCTGAAAATTGGCTCAGGTAAGAATCAGGATCTACACTCTTCTGATTTCATGAGTTTCTTTCCAAATCTACCTGGTAACTTTAATTTTGTGAGTTCATGCAATTTTATTTTGTCCTCATCCTTCATCCTCATGTCCAAAGAAAAATTGCTCAATAGCACACATTAAAATCTTTATTTTAAAGTAATAATACTTTGATACTAAAGGAAAAGTAATTTGTCCTCCCCTCTGAATTGACATGTGAAGTGTCTCAGCCTCAGTTGGGTATGATTTTTTTATCCCATTAAGTCCCCAGATCTTTATTTATACTTACTAAGCAGTGAGTCTTTCTCAAAAAAGAGTGTTCCTAAATAGTAGGTTAAGATAGTAATAGTAGGTTCTTTGCTAAGAAGCTTTGGGGCATCAAGAATTCCAAAGATGTGTGAAACCTTGGGGGTCACTAATGTTTGCAAATGGCACCCAATGGCAAGGCCAGTATTGTGAGGTAAACAATCCAATATTGAGAAGGGAAGTAGGAGCGCTCTGAGGTGTCTTCGGTCACACCATCAGAGACCAAATCACCAATGGGATTCTTAACCTAATCTCTCTCCTCAGGACTCCATTTCTTTCCTATGTAAAGACCAGGTTATTTTTATTTTCTTTCAGTTTATTAAATTTTTATTCTATTCTATATCATCCTCTATTTTATTCTGAAATCAGTACTCATTAAGTGTTACGTGGTGTTGTCATTCCCCAACTTCACACTCTCAACCCACCTCCAGATTTTATCACACTTAATGATGTTCTCTCCATATAACCAATTATTCTACCAAAGTTAATAATCTAACCACATATTTTTTCAAAGAGCTGTGCTTCTATTTTACATTCATATGATATTTAAGATAGCAATGCCTTCTGAATTTTGGTAAGAAGCTTAGTCAAATACGCAGCAAAGCTTCGAGTTACCTTACTGACTGTATAACACAAAATTACCTTTTAGAAAGTCTGTGACTATACACGGCATTTTGTCCTAACATATTCCTTTTTCCTTCTTGTATAGTCTGTCTATGGTTTACAAAATGATATTAGAAGTCACAGTCCTACCCACACACCCACACCAGAAACTAAACCTCCAACAGAAGATGAGTTACAACAACAGGTAGGTCAACCTATAAAATGAGCTGTTAACAGTTTACAGAGTAGCAGCTATGAAGACCAGATGGTGAATGTTAATAGCAGGTATTTTTAAAAGTTATTTGTATGGTTGACTGTCTCATATACAAGATTTACAGTTAAAAGGTAATGAAATTGTCTAATTTTAAGATATGTAGTCACTTGAAAATGTATCAGTATATGGGGATGGTTTTCAAAACTCTGCATTCTTTAACTCCTCCAATCTTTTTTCCCCTAATCAATTTTTAAAAATCACATAGACTAATTTATAAGTGCCTCCATTATCAAGAGTTATGTTTTACTCCAGTACTCTGTCTTAAAGAGTGAGAAGACAAGAGGTTGGTGACATTGAGTCACATGTTTTCCATATCCAATGACGTAACATGATCTTCACAAGAGTTCTTATTCTTGTTTCTACAGTATATATGTGCCACATAATGACATTTTGGTTCACGAAGGACCACATATACGATGGTGGTCCCATAAGATTAGTACCATATAGCCTAGGTGTGTAGTAGGCCGCACCATCTAGGTTTGTATAAGTACTGTAGGGGAGGAAGAAATTTTCCTCTACCTTTCTGGGTTCTTCTGGCTGGTCTAAGAATTAAATTGACATGAGATGTTAACAAGAGAAAAACAAACAAAAGATGAATAACATGTATACATGGGAAAACCCAGGAAAACCACATAACTTGCCAAAATGGCTGAAGCCCTCACCTTAAATACCATCTTTAGCCAAAGATGAAAGATGCTAGGGGTTGGGGAGAGTCAGAGACTTCAAAGGGAAGGAAGGCAATTCACAGGTGCATAAAAAAGAGCAAATGTTTGGGAAACAGGTGTGTGTTTGGCCACATAGAAACAGAAGAACACAGAGGGGAGCCCAGCAAACTGGCTTTTCCAGGTTCCTCCCTGTCTACCCCCTAGTTCATGTCATGCTAGGGTGACAGCTCACTTCCTGAGACAGGTTTTCTTAACTGAATTCTTTTAGGCAGTTAAGGGGGAGGTAACAAGAAAAACTTTCTGGGTCTTTTGTTTCTTAAAAATAATCAGCCTAGGGGCGGGCCCCGTGGCTTAGTGGTTAAGTGCGCGCGCTCCACTGCTGGCAGCCGGGGTTCGGAACCCCGGGCGCGCACCAACGCACCGCTTCTCTGGCCATGCTGAGGCCGCGTCCCACATACAGCAACTAGAAGGATGTGCAACTATGACATACAACTA